TCGCAAACTCTGAGTGAGTTTCAAAACTTTTAAGATACTTCCCATTGGCCTAAAATCATGAAATTTAGCAAGCAAGATTTTAAAGTACCTACAATCAAAATAATCGTTAATTAGAAAAACAAATATTTTTTTACGATTACAAAGTTATAATTGTAATTGAAGCATCGTCTGTTATGTAGAGTATACCTACCGATGTATAGAAGAACATTTTGCCACTGCAAATTACAGTTTGAACTTTCAATCCGACTTGCTTTTTCGATGTTAAGCACTTATAATGTATGAGCTATCCATAACCCTCAGGACGTCATACTCACACTTTTCCGCTTTTTTTAATTTTATTTAAGGATGTTTCAACTTCTTAGAAATTAAAAAAAATCTAAAATTGCTGTTCAGATAGCCGTGGTAGCTCGGATGGTTACCGCTTGCTGTAAATTTTACAGTACCTACACGAGCAAAACGGGTTTGATCCCCGCCGGCACCAATGAAATTGTTAATTTCAATTTTAAGTTCTGATTTACCACACGCTCGGCGGTGAAGGAAAACATCGTGAGGAAACTTGCATGACTGAGAAATAAGAAAAAAAAATTTCGAAGACATGTGCAGTTCGCCAACACGCATTGGGGTAGGGCGTCGGACAATTCCTTACCCTAAAACCATCTCAGAAATGAGCGGCGCGGCGGCCTGTGCCCAGGAGTGGGACGTATTCTGTATATACAGGCTGTAATCTTTAACCTTTAACTAAAACTGTTCGAAAAACTAGATCCCAAGGAAGAAAAGCCAACAAAATGACGATATAACTATATATATATATATATATATATATATATATATATATATATATATATATATATATATATATATATATATATATATATAACATTTAGAGTAAGTTTTATTTACTATTTATTTACGTTAGTAATAATTTACTACTTATAACATAAACGCTGTCTTAACCGAATTACATTCACTAAATACCTACTTATTTTTATAAAGATATTTAAAAAACATATTGAAGCTAAATAAAGACATAACATGCTGGCGCATCGGCATTGCATACCTTCTTAATGCGGCGTGTTCGAGCATACTAGAACATCATTGTACTTATAGGCGATAAATGGTGCAAAACGCAAGAAAATGACTTATGATTGCAGCCGTTATATTAAATGATTAAACGTAAACTGTGTTGCTACAATCATTACGCGGCTGAAACGGTGATCAACCACGGGAAAAAAATAAGAGCGCCGCAAACATCGCATACGCCTTTTTAGTCCAGTCAAATAAGGTGAAAATAGGTATAACTCGGAATAAGAGATAATCGATAATAAGCTATAAACTTGCGTAAGTCTTTACTCAAGCATTCAAAAAGCTGCCTCAAAAGTATGATAAAGTCATATTCAAGGTCAAAGGCCAGAAAATTCTATTTTTTTTTTAAATCTTGTTTGCTTTGCATAATCTTCTTTTTCTATGCGATAACCCAGCGTTGCCTGGTGTAAAGGGCTCACGGTAGTGATTCTATTAACTCTCATATCCGACCTTACGATGGCTAGCTAGCGCTTTTTGGGAATGGCGCTTGGTCTTGCCCATGCCATCACCTATAAAGGCATCACCTACCAACGTACCAACGTACTGGCTTGCACAGGATGTATTACTTAACCGACTTTTCTGAAGCTTACCACCACGTCACATACTTTAAGACTGCCCCGGATATATTCATTACGTATGCAGTCTCGCTTCGTACCGTCGCACATTCAGCGCAACAGTTTTCATTGCGGAGCTTCTGGACATTTCAGCCCAAGATCCGCCTCACTACCATGAACGGGCCGATTAATGCTCTTGTACACTTAGGTCCGTATTAATAAACGTTCCTCAACGATGAACTCAAGTGCTTCATCATTTGATATGCCCTCTTTAGGATATCAGCGTCCTAAGATAATTTCTAATTAATAAATACAGCATCTGTTAGGTACCAAGATCGCTCCTCAAGACGCTGTACTTGGGATAGTGTTCCGACTTGAGTGCTTGATTCACATTGACAGAAGTTTAGAATATCACCATCACATTTCACGGTATAAAGTTGTTTTCTAGTTAAGAAAGCCTTAAATAGTTAAAACTGTTATTTACCTATATATTTCTAAATACGACATAAATGTCTACTACTCAACTGAATATGTAATAATAGTAATAATAATGTCCTCCAGACCGAATTTCGGCCACGGCGGCCTGCCTCAACGTAGGCTAGCCATCGGCGCAGCACAGGATTATAGTGCCCAAGTTTAGCGCAAGCACAGGTGCACTCTCTATTCCCTCACTCTCATAATCCGGTGGGACGGTAAACCGACACGACCGGAGACAGATCAGGCGCAGGACCAACGGCTTTACGTGCTTTCCGAGGCACGGGGGTGAGACACCGCCAACTACTCCCTGACTCCGGGCAGCTACTGAGAATTTCTTGATGGAAAAACTCAATAATTAAATTTTTTTTGGCCCGACCCGGGATTCGAACCCAGGACCTCATGACCAGCAGTCGCACTACTACAACCACTAGGCCAACGAGGCAGTCAAACTAATCCTACCTACCTAAACCTAAATGTACAAATAACCTAAGGCATTTAAACGACAGCGACGGTGTCAAAAAGAAACACGACACCAAGCCACAGAACACTATTATTCCTAGCACCAAACAACATCTGCTAGTTTAAAACGTAGTGAGTACTTATAGTGATTTTAAGCTCATTGCTTATTTTATTTTTATAACATCGCTGATCGCATTATAATTTAATTTACACAAAGATTGAGAAAAATGCTTTCTCGATATTATAAAAAATATAGGGATGTGGTGGAAAAGAAGGAGACCGATGGCGCATCTCAAAAGGATTAGAGGCATCCCTTAATTAAATTTTTGGTAAATGATTTTGCGAAGTCCGTAAAATATCGTAATACTAATATCGTAAAACGTAATAAGTTTGAACGAATAGTACTCTATTTCATTGTAAAAAATCAATTTCACTAGAAATATTTTTAAACTATGTTTCGAACTACTACAATCACGATCTCTCTCAAGTCACGGAGCGCCAGCACTCAGGATTTTAGTTTTTCAAGTACAACCTATTGAGGTATCTCCGATAACTTACTTCGAGCTGCATCGGTACGGGCTCTAATTCCGTAATCTATGCCCCCGGACTCATGCAGTACAAATCCAAGGTCTCTGAATTTCACCGTTTTCAGAACGTATTCAAAGTCTATATCATCAAGCCACTTTACTCGGTATTTACCACAATTAGTTTTAATCCGCCGTTCTCAAGCGTGGCTTTCCATAAATTCACATTTTGCTCTTAGTTTATTCTGTTTTCGGTTACTTGCGAGCTTTCATCAGCATAAATGATCAGATAAGTGTGTGATTTCCTAGTAATCGAATTGAGCATTACGTTTTAAAAGAGGGTAAGTAAGACGTTTCCAAATTCCGAATGCTTTCAAAAATAATTCGCAAAAGATTTTATAATGTCGCAAGTGAACATGCACACAGAGGTACTTACCAATACTACCACATCCTATCCCACCTGTATACAAAGTATATAGACAAAGAGAGAGAGAGAGAGAGAGAGAAAGAGACCCGACTTAGTTGTCAGGTCTAGTGTTCGCAATCGCGACTGCTGTTCATGTGGTTTTGGATTCGAATTCCAGGTCGGGACAAAACAAATTACTGGGTTTTTATGTTAAGGATTTCTCGATAGCAGCGCCAACTCGGAAAGCGGGCGACGTTTCAGCCATGCGGCTGCTCTCTCTCCCGTAATGTCATATTCCCGTAGCATTGGATTATGAGGGAGAGAGTGAGAGAATAGGGAAGTACACTATAATCCTGCCTTGCTTAAATGGCTAGTTTCCGTTGAAACCGGGCGTCGTGACAGAAAAACTGCTGCAGGACATTATAATACAGCCGGAAGTGACCAGTAACATAACAATAAAAATGTCCTCCAGGCCGATTTTCTCACGACGTCCTGCCTCAACGGAGACTAGCCATCGGCGCAGTACAGGATTATAGTGCCCAAGTGTATGCGCAAGCGCAGGTGCACTCTCTATCCTTCACTGACATAATCAGATGGGACGGTAAACCGAGACGACCTGAGAAAGATCAGGACCAACGGCTTTACCTGCTTTCCGAGGCACGGTAGTAAAACACCTCCAACTTCCTGACTCCGGGCACCTACTGAGAATTTAATGGCGGAAAAACTCAATAATTGATTTTTTGGGCCAACCCAGGATTCTAACCTAGGACCTCATGATCAGTAGTCACACTACTACAACCACTAGACCAACGATGCAGTCACATAGCAGTGCAGGCAAAGCTACTTGGCGATAGAAATAAGTAGGAGGGTGGTAACTACCTAGACGGACTCCGTGGGGTGAGAAGAGTCCGTGGGGTGGGAGGAGTCCGTGGCGAAAGAGGAGTCCGTGAGCTCGTGCTAATTGGCGGACTTCACACGCCAACTAAATATTTGAAATTGTTCAGACATGCAGCTTTATAGATGTTTTCCTTTAATGTCGGTCCGATTATCTTAATAACAATATATGGTTAATACACATTTAAAATTATTATATTGGAAATTTCGTAAATAAATGTAACTAAAGATGTTAAGAATTAATTCGCACACAACCGTTCAATAAAATAAAATGATGTGTCTAACCTAGTTTGAAAAGCACCTCCCGCCCTCCCTCAATTGCGTGCACTAATCCCGTCACCACTAGTCCCAGCACCACTACTCTCAATACCATTACACTAGGAAAGACACACCATCGACGATAATACGACACGTGTTTCGCCTCTACACGAAGCATCCTCAGGTGATGTAGACTCTGCGGGGTCTGATCGCTAAGTGACTTGAAGAAAACTAGAAGACACATCATTTTATTTTATTAAGCGGATGTGTATAACAACTTTAATTTCCGCAAAATAACGCCCTTTTTCTATTAATCACAAATGTGACTTCCTATTTTTGTTTCAGTAACCCCAGAGAGCTGTTATTACCAGCGTTGTTTGGGCTGTTACCCACAAGAAACTGAATGGCCCGGTTCACCTGTTGAGTGCCATCCTTCAAACTGGGTGTCAGCACAATGGGTTCACAATATTGGTCATCCTCCACCAACAACAGATTCGAGAATTCCTATAGAATATCGCTGCCTGAAAATGGTCGCTACACCGGATAATAAATCTCGTACGTTTGTTATATCAATTCTGCACAACATGCAACAAGATTATGATGCGTCTAGACAATATCGACTACGACAACAACTTCCTAATATTATGGGAACTTACTATAACTTCGTGTAACTCATTTCTGAGAGGGAGGGCAAAGAAATGTCCGCATCACTGCCCCAATGCGTGTTGACAGACTTTATGGTGTCGAACTATTTTTTTATTTCTTAGACATTTAGATTTCCTCACGATATTTTCCTTTACTGCCAAGCACATGGTAACTTCGCAATAGATATACTATTTAGTTGTAATATATTCTAAGTGCCGCGGTATTTTAACGTATTAAATAATACTATATTTTAATATATGTATCTAATAATTCAAATATAGTAGGCAATATATTAAGACAAGATGGATACAGCATCACATGGGCAATATTAAATTATACAGACAATTTTTGATTTTAAACCTTACATTGATGATGTACACATGCCCCTACCAAAATATATATAAACAAATATATACACTCGTTTCTATCTATGTATCGCCTGCGCCAGATCTTTTAGATGTTATAATTTATTTTTACTGTCGGCTGTAGTTGAATCTAATTGAATTAATTTTTTTCTTTACATCTACTATGGTAGGCAGCGTTTTTCTTAATTTTTCTCAAAATGGGCAGCAACTTGGCCAAGTTTTCATTTCCGCAATCAAATAAATTTCAAATAAACAACAATATACCTACTATGCATTTCAAATAAGAAGCACATCGCGTTATTGTTACTTACCTTTAATTTTGGTAGCGACGTTTGGTAAACAGCTGACGCGTGATTGACGAAATGCCATTAGACGTTCAATCAAAATTCGTGACTGATAATTGACTGACGTAAAAATCAAAAAATCCAAATATTTGCCAATCAATTTCATCAACGTCAATCACCTCATTACACGGTAGGTTATTCGTCAAACACAACCGTGATTGTTGTAAAACTGACAGCAAAACCTACCCTGTAATGCGTGAGTTCCGTCAAAACTCAAGCGGTCGGATGCGACCGCTTCCACCCACAGCACACAAACAAAGACTTTTGTTTAGACCACAGGATAGAGAATTTTGTATAGATTCTATAATGCCAAACTTCTTTATAGAAAAGTAGTCTATAAATATAAGTTTTTATGGTTTAAAGTGCTGTGTTTTATGGTTTAATATGTCGTAAATTGACATTAGAATAAAAATAAAAATACATAGAATAACTGACTTTTGTTTAGACTACAGGATAGAGAATTTTGTTTTAATTCTATAGTGCCAAACTTCTTCATAGAAAAGTAGTCTTTAAATATAAGTTAAAGTGTTCTGGGTGGGTGCGGTCGCACGGGATTTGACGGACACATACGACTGCATGGGTAATTTATAGGGATTGAAGGGTTAATTTGAGCCAGTCCATAACATTTACAAGCTCAACAGACAACAGATGTATAAAATAAACCAGTATTGTATTATAACCGTTAAAAAAGATAAGAAAAACTGCAGTTCCTTTCGCAGTTGCTTCTCCGGTCAAAAGAATTTTTCCCTTGATTAAAACTACTTTTACGGATTTTATCGCGTTTTATTTATATTAATTTTAATACCCGACGTTTCGGGTGCTTTCCAGCACCCATGGTCACGGGGGACTGAGGTGACTGACGTCCCGATGTCAAAGTTAACCCGGAGTACCTTCAGCTTTTTAATTATGCGTAGATCGGCCCAAAGACAATAATTAAAAAGCTGAAGGTACTCCGGGTTAACTTTGACATCGGGACGTCAGTCCCCTCAGTCCCCCGTGACCATGGGTGCTGGAAAGCACCCGAAACGTCGGGTATTAAAATTAATATAAATAAAACGCGATAAAATCCGTAAAAGTAGTTTTAATCAATGTATAGTGTTCGCGTAAATATAAGAAATCATTATGAATTTCTCCCTTCTTTCTTTTTCAAACAAAAAAGAAAACTAAGTTTTTACGGTGAAGTAATATATTTAGATATTTCATCTAACTGGGCTTCGCAGTGATTGGTAGAATAGAAAAGTTAATACAATCGGGAGGGTACATAAAAAGGGGGCGTAGAAACAAAAATAAATTTTATTTTATAGAAAAAGGGTAACAAACGAACACGTAGTCCACATGATGGTAAGTGGATGCTGTGGCTCATAGACATTTACATTTATCTTCAATTAAGAACCAAGATGCAGATGCGTTGTCACCCCTGAGGACTAAAATACCTCCTTTCCAGTAAAAACGGTCTCCGTTTCTCTACACTCACCATACGAAATGCAGCAGCATTAAATTGCTATTTTACGCCGGTACTCTGTGAAAGCGTGGTCCTTCCCCGATGGAGCCGCCCCATTCGTGCTACAGCCATAATATAGCAGCAGCGTGGCTCCACCACGTCAAAATCTACAAATTCACTCGCTATAAGTAGGTAATAGATATATTATCGCGATTTCTCGTATAAGTAGCAAATGGAAATGAAATTCCCTTATATCTTAGCGTTATTAACGCTTAAGTTTTTCTTTTTCAGTTGGCAACACAGTGGATGTTATCCGAGGTTGTGTGCCACGAGCACAAGTAGACTCGGTCTGCCTCGGTTTATTGGCAGTAGAGCGTGCCAGAGGCCACAGCAACGCGCGCTGCACCACTTGCAACAGGAACAATTGTAACGCGGCCGTGCGTACAGATGTCGTGATAACAACGCCTATCGCAATTCTCATACTCTATTACGTGTTGAGGTGAAGGACAGATTTATTTGCCGAATAAATATTTATAATAAAGTGTGTTGTATTGTGTAAATGTGTAATTCGCAAATAAAAGACATTTTAACAAGCTTTAGTATTCCTTTAATGTATAAGTACATACCTTTTAAAACATCTTTAATACTTTTGCGTATTAAATTCCCTGTCATGTTACAAACTTTTCAGTAAAAAAAAATACATCCAGTTGCACCACAGACCTCCATTATAGTACTTTCCACTATAACCATTATAATACCAGTACGCTGGCCTGTCTATTGCCTACATAATGTTTTTGCTGATTTGAAGCGCCGCCATTGAGTGTACCGGGAACTAAATTTGAAACATAATTTGCAAACAGACGCTGTTTTGCTCAAAAAGTTTAAAGAGTATTATAGAGTCAGTAGAGGAAAAGAGTGTATGTTGTATAGTTTGGTCATGCTTTATATTAGTAATATAATAAAAAATATTTTTAGTAACAGTGACAATGTAATGTAAAATTCGTTACTAGAAGGAAAGCGTGATAACATTCCAAAAGTAAAGGGGTTTACATTTTATATGTAAAAATTAAAACTGTTTGATAATACAGGTTTTAAAAATATGTCACCCATTACCTATTTTTGATAAACAATAAAATTCAATAGGGTAGACGAGTTCCTTGTTGATAATACTTATCGATGTTTTTTCTACCCACATCTGTTTACAACAATGAAAGTCGCTGACAACAGATAACTATCAAATATTTATTAATTTATAGGTTTTCAATTGACTCTATACTAAAACTGTAACTAAAAACTTTAAAACTTGTAAACTTGATTGAGACCACAGTGATTTGTAGTATGGTATTCTATAACATAATTTAAAGTTTGTAAAATTCTAATTGTACCTATAGATATTGCTGAAATAGGCATATTTTGGCAGCTTATTGATTTTCTCTATTACGAGGACTAAATGAATGGTTAACAATAAATTATTTACAAAAGTCTAGTTTTTCCTACTCGTGAAACCTATTTAAACCTCTCGAATGAACCATATAATATGCCCAATAGTGAAACCCGGTTCGGAATCGGAAACTAAAGCCGTTCTATAGTTATGAAGGAAAACGTAGATAGACTAACGCAGCGTTAATTTTTGTTTTAATATAAGGTATAAAGCTAAGTCTCAGATATAAGTATAACTTTCCAGCGGAGGAGGGCCCGTTTTAGAATGGGGGGGCCTTTTTTTTTAAGGTTAATTGATACATTTATTTATATATTATACTACTACTATTTCTATTATTAGTTCCGTGAACGCTTAATTCTGTTATCAGAACCAAAATGGCGAAAATCAAATCGTCTCATTGTGTACGGTGTATAGTCAGTCCAGCGTACTTGTATAATAGAGGTCAGTCAGTCGCATTCGGTAGAGTTTTTTAACTCCCGTCTATGACACTTCATAAAAAAAACGTGAAAATAATTTAGACTAGATTATATTTACTAACCTCTTTTTAACAGTTAAAGCATTAAGCTTATTAAATGCAAAATCGATTGTGTTAGCACAGAGATATGTTGAGTATTTTATTTTAGAGATTAATAAAAATGGACTACACACTAACCTACAGTCCTTTTTTTCTTAATCTTAACTGAAATAGTTTTACTGTAATAATTAGTAAAACCATGTTATAATATCTAACCTAATGAATATAATATGAGAGCTACAATTATTTATTGTTACGAAGACGATACACAACTAACCAATATAATTTTTATATCTTAAATTTAAAATCACAATATAGAGGTTGCTGTAACAAACTTTACGTAATAATATACATTATGCTATATAATATGCTGTATTGTTACCAATTTTATTCAATCGATATTTTTCTAATATTCTATATTTTATTGCATCGGTTATATGTACATAATTGCAACGCCGCCTAGTCTCATTGGAAGATTTGTAATTGTAATATAATTACAATAAATTATAATAAATATATTGTCAATTTTATTATATATTATGTTACAACGCGCTGCTGGTTTATATGCATATCACAAAAATATATCTGTACAGCAACAAAATCACAGATATTCACTGGTTTATATGTACTGTTTTATTATATATAATAACTAACTATAGATCTAATACAGTTTTAATGGAGCAGTACTTAATGTAAGTACATAAGCTGCTTATTTTACCTTAACTCCATCAACATAACTGTCATATAAAGGTACTGTTGACACATACAGCGTTCAAGAGAGACTCAGAGTAATAATAATACTTTAATATTGAACAATTAATGACGAAATAATAATGCTATAAAGTAATATTTTAAAGTGATGAGTTTTTCAAATACTCTTATTTACCAAGACAATCACAACTGCAAAATTTGTACGTTTGTCAGTCTAGTTATTTTTCTTATTTCATAATGCAATGTTTTTCAAATCTTTATCGTAATGCTTTATGTCTCTAAATAAACATGAATGCTTGCTTATCTTTAACTTAGAACCTACTAATTGTTAGTCCTAAAGTACTTTTACTGCTTTGTTCATTTGCTTACCTAAACATCAGATCTTCAGTAATATAAAACTTTCAAATGACTACCGCCAAGGTACTCGTTCGAAATGCCATATTTGTTCATCTGATTTGATACACCTCTTTGCTGTTAATGGAGTGTCAGTAACATCTGCGCTTTGATTAATTAATAATGTCAGACACAGACCGTCATTTGTTTTCAACCTTGGTCCTTCTTGCTTCCAAATCTGTTTTCTATTGTCGCTGCAACTTTTCCACACAGCCCGCCCGTTTCCGGTTACTAGTGCGCTTTCATCAGCATAAATGATCAGATAAGTGTGTGATTCCCTAGTAATCGAATTGAGCATTACGTTTTAAAAGAGGGTAAGTAAGAAAGTTTCCAAATTCTGAATGCTTTCAAACATATTTTAATTCGCAAAAGATTTTATAATGCCGCAAGTGAACGTGCACACAGAGGTACTAACCAATACTACCACATCCTATCCCACCTGTATACAAAGTATATAGACAAAGAGAGAGAGAGAGAGAGAAAGAGACTCGACTTAGTTGTCTGGTCTAGTGTTCGCAATCGCGACTGCTGTTCATGTGGTTTTGGATTCGATTTCCAGGTCGGGACAAAACAAATTACTGGGTTTTTATGTTAAGGATTTCTCGATAGCAGCGCCGACTCGGAAAGCGGGCGACGTTTCAGCCATGCGGCTGCTCTCTCTCCCGTAATGTCATATTCTCGTACCATTGGATTATGAGGGAGAGAGTGAGAGAATAGGGAAGTACACTAGAATACCAGCGTGAAATAGTAGTTTAATGCTGCTGTATTTCGTATGGTGAGTGTAGAGAACCGGAGACCCTTTTTACTGGAAACGAGGCATTCCATCTCAGTCCTCACGGGTGACAACGCATCTGCATTTTGATTTTTAATGGAGGATAGATGTAGATGTCTATGGGCCGCAGCAACCACTTACCATCAGGTGGACTGTGTGCTCGTTAGTCACCCTATTCTATAAAAAAAAAGCTAGTTTCCGTTGAAACCGGGCGCCGTGACCGAAAAACTGCTGCAGGACATTATAATACAGCCAGAACTGACCAGTAACATAACAATAATAATGTCCTCCAGGCCGATTTTCTGTCACGACGTCCTGCCTCAACGGAGACTAGCTATCGGCGCAGTACAGGATTATAGTGCCCAAGTGTATGCGCAAGCACAGGTGCACTCTCTATCCTTCACTGTCATAATCAGATGGGACGGTAAACCGAGACGACCTGAGAAAGATCAGGACCAACGGCTTTACCTGCTTTCCGAGGCACGGTAGTAAAACACCTCCAACTTCCTGACTCCGGGCACCTACTGAGAATTTCATGGCGGAAAAACTCAATAATTGATTTTTTGGGCCGACCCAGGATTCTAACCTAGGACCTCATGATCAGTAGTCACACTACTACAACCACTAGACCAACGATGCAGTCACATAGCAGTGTAGGCAAAGCTACTTGGCGATAGAAATAAGTAGGAGGGTGGTAACTACCTAGACGGACTCCGTGGGGTGAGAAGAGTCCGTGGGGTGGGAGGAGTCCGTGGCGAAAGAGGAGTCCGTGAGCTCGTGCTAATTGGCGGACTTCACACGCCAACTAAATATTTGAAATTGTTCAGACATGCAGCTTTATAGATGTTTTCCTTTAATGTCGGTCCGAATAACTTAATAACAATATATGGTTAATACACATTTAAAATTATTATATTGGAAATTTCGTAAATAAATGTAACTAAAGATGTTAGGAATTAATTCGCACATAACCGCTCAATAAAATAAAATGATGTGTCTAACCTAGTTTGAAAAGCACCTCCCGCCCTCCCTCAATTGCGTGCATTAATCCCGTCACCACTAGTCCCAGCACCACTACTCCAAATACCAATACACTAGGAAAGACACACCATCGACGATAATACGACACGTGTTTCGCCTCTACACGAAGCATCCTCAGGTGATGTAGACTCTGCGGTGTCTGATCGCTAAGTGACTTGAAGAAAACTAGAAGACACATCATTTTATTTTATTAAGCGGATGTGTATAACAACTTTACTTTCCGCAAAATAACGCCTTTTTCTATTAATTACAAATGTGACTTCCTATTTTTGTTTCAGTAACCCCAGAGAGCTGTTATTACCAGCGTTGTTTGGGCTGTTACCCACAAGAAACTGAATGGCCCGGTTCACCTGTTGAGTGCCATCCTTCAAACTGGGTGTCAGCACAATGGGTTCACAATATTGGTCATCCTCCACCAACAACAGATTCGAGAATTCCTATAGAATATCGCTGCCTGAAAATGGTCGCTACACCGGATAATAAATCTCGTACGTTTGTTATATCAATTCTGCACAACATGCAACAAGATTATGATGCGTCTAGACAATATCGACTACGACAACAACTTCCTAATATTATGGGAACTTACTATAACTTTGTGTAACTCATTTCTGAGAGGGAGGGCAAAGAAATGTCCGCATCACTGCCCCAATGCGTGTTGACCGACTTTATGGTGTCGAACTATTTTTTTATTTCTTAGACATTTAGATTTCCTCACGATATTTTCCTTTACTGCCAAGCACATGGTAACTTCGCAATAGATATACTATTTAGTTTTAATATATTTTAAGTGTCGCGGTATTTTAACGTACTCGTATTAAATAATACTATATTTTAATATATGTATCTAATAATTCAAATATAGTAGGCAATATATTAAGACAAGATGGATACAGCATCACATGGGCAATATTAAATTATACAGACAATTTTTGATTTTAAACCTGTAACATGATGATGATGTACACATGCCCACCTACCAAAATATATATAAACAAATATATACACTCGTTTCTATCTATGTATCGCCTGCGCCAGATCTTTTAGATGTTATAATTTATTTTTATTGTCGGCTGTAGTTGAATCTAATTGAATTAATTTTTTTTTCTTTACATCTACTATGGTAGGCAGCGTTTTTCTTAATTTTTCTCAAAATGGGCAGCAACTTGGCCAAGTTTTCATTTCCGCAATCAAATAAATTTCAAATAAACAACAATATACCTACTATGCATTTCAAATAAGAAGCACATCGCGTTATTGTTACTTACCTTTAATTTTGGTAGCGACGTTTGGTAAACAGCTGACGCGTGATTGACGAAATGCCATTAGACGTTCAATCAAAATTCGTGACTGATAATTGACTGACGTAAAAATCAAAAAAATCCAAATATTTGTCAATCAATTTTATGCAACCGTCAATCACCTCATTACACGGTAGGTTATTCGTCAAACACAACCGTGATTGTTGTAAAACTGACAGCAAAACCTACCCTGTAATGCGTGAGTTCCGTCAAAACTCAAGCGGTCGGATGCGACCGCTTCCACCCACAGCACACAAACAAAGACTTTTGTTTAGACCACAGGATAGAGAATTTTGTATAGATTCTATAATGCCAAACTTCTTTATAAAAAAGTAGTCTATAAATATGTTTTTATGGTTTAAAGTGCTGTGTTTTATGGTTTAATATGTCGTAAATTGACATTAGAATAAAAATAAAAATACATAGAATAACTGACTTTTGTTTCGACTAAAGGATAGAGAATTTTGTTTTAATTCTATAGTGCCAAACTTCTTCATAGAAAAGTAGTCTTTAAATATAAGTTAAAGTGTTCTGGGTGGGTGCGGTCGCACGGGATTTGACGGACACATACGACTGCATGGGTAATTTATGGGGATTGAAGGGTTAATTTGAGCCAGTCCATAACATTTACAAGCTCAACAGACAACAGATGTATAAAATAAACCAGTATTGTATTATAACCGTTAAAAAAGATAAGAAAAACTGCAGTTCCTTTCGCAGTTGCTTCTCCGGTCAAAAGAATTTTTCCCTTGATTAAAACTACTTTTACGGATTTTATCGCGTTTTATTTATATTAATTTTAATACCCGACGTTTCGGGTGCTTTCCAGCACCCATGGTCACGGGGGACTGAGGTGACTGACGTCCCGATGTCAAAGTTAACCCGGAGTACCTTCAGCATTTTAATTATTGTCTTTGGTCCGATCTATGCTGTCTAAAGACAATAATTAAAAAGCTGAAGGTACTCCGGGTTAACTTTGACATCGGGACGTCAGTCACCTCAGCCCCCGTGACCATGGGTGCTGGAAAGCACCCGAAACGTCGGGTATTAAAATTAATATAAATAAAACGCGATAAAATCCGTAAAAGTAGTTTTAATCAATGTATAGTGTTCGCGTAAATATAAGAAATCATTATGAATTTCTCCCTTCTTTCTTTTTCAAACAAAAAAGAAAACTAAGTTTTTACGGTGAAGTAATATATTTAGATATTTCATCTAACTGGGCTTCGCAGTGATTGGTAGAATAGAAAAGTTAATACAATCGGGAGGGTACATAAAAAGGGGCGTAGAAACAAAAATAAATTTTATTTTATAGAAAAAGGGTAACAAACGAACACGTAGTCCACATGATGGTAAGTGGATGCTGTGGCTCATAGACATTTACATTTATCTTCAATTAAGAACCAAGATGCAGATGCGTTGTCACCCCTGAGGACTAAAATACCTCCTTTCCAGTAAAAACGGTCTCCGTTTCTCTACACTCACCATACGAAATGCAGCAGCATTAAATTGCTATTTTACGCCGGTACTCTGTGAAAGCGTGGTCCTTCCCCGATGGAGCCGCCCCATTCGTGCTACAGCCATAATATAGCAGCAGCGTGGCTCCACCACGTCAAAATCTACAAATTCACTCGCTATAAGTAGGTAATAGATATGTTATCGCGATTTCTCGTATAAGTAGCAAATGGAAATGAAATTCCCTTATATCTTGGCGTTATTAACGCTTAGTTTTCTTTTTCAGTTGGCAACACAGTGGATGTTATCCGAGGTTGTGTGCCACGAGCACAAGTAGACTCGGTCTGCCTCGGTTTATTGGCAGTAGAGCGTGCCAGAGGCCACAGCAACGCGCGCTGCACCACTTGCAACAGGAACAATTGTAACGCGGCCGTGCGTACAGATGTCGTGATAACAACGCCTATCGCAATTCTCATACTCTATTACGTGTTGAGGTGAAGGACAGATTTATTTGCCGAATAAATATTTATAATAAAGTGTGTTGTATTGTGTAAATGTGTAATTCGCAAATAAAAGACATTTTAACAAGCTTTAGTATTCCTTTAATGTATAAGTACATACCTTTTAAAACATCTTTAATACTTTTGCGTATTAAATTCCCTGTCATGTTACAAACTTTTCAGTAAAAAAAATACATCCAGTTGCACCACATACCTCCATTATAGTACTTTCCACTATAACCATTATAATACCAGTACGCTGGCCTGTCTATTGCCTACATAATGTTTTTGCTGATTTGAAGCGCCGCCATTGAGTGTACCGGGAACTAAATTTGGAACATAATTTGCAAACAGACGCTGTTTTGCTATATTATAGAGTCAGTAGAGGAAAAGAGTGTATGTTGTATAGTTTGGTCATGTTTTATGTTAGTAATATAATAAAAAATATTTTTAGTAACAGTGATAATGTAATGTAAAATTCGTTACTAGAAGGAAAGCGTGATAACATTCCAAAAGTAAACATTTTATATGTAAAAATTAAAACTGATAATACAGGTTTTAAAAATATGTCACCCATTACCTATTTTTGATAAACAATAAAATTCAATAGGGTAGACGAGTTCCTTGTTGATAATACTTATCGATGTTTTTTCTACCCACATCTGTTTACAACAATGAAAGTCGCTGACAACAGATAATTATCAAATATTTATTAATTTATAGGTTTTCACCTGACTCTATACTAAAACTGTAACTAAAAACTTTAAAACTTGTGAACTTGATTGAGACCACAGTGATTTGTAGTATGGTATTCTTAAATATAATTTAAAGTTTGTAAAATTTTAATTGTACCTATAGATATTGCTGAAATAGGCATATTTTGGCAGGTTATTGATTTTCTCTATTACGAGGGCTAAATGAATGGTTAACAATAAATTATTTACAAAAGTCTCGTTTTTCCTACTCGTGAAACCTATTTAAACCTCTCGAATGAACCATATAATATGCCCAATAGTGAAACCCGGTTCGGAATCGGAAACTAAAGCCGTTCTATAGTTATGAAGGAAAACGTAGATAGACTAACGCAGCGTTAATTTTTGTTTTAATATAAGGTATAAAGCTAAGTCTCAGATATAAGTATTAATTGATACATTTATTTATATATTATACTACTACTATTTCTATTATTAGTTCCGTGAACGCTTAATTCTGTTATCAGAACCAAAATGGCGAAAATCAAATCGTCTCATTGTGTACGGTGTATAGTCAGTCCAGCGTACTTGTATAATAGAGGTCAGTCAGTCGCATTCGGTAGAGTTTTTTAACTCCCGTCTATGACACTTCATAAAAAAACGTGAAAATAATTTAGACTAGATTATATTTACTAACCTCTTTTTAACAGTTAAAGCATTAAGCTTATTAAATGCAAAATCGATTGTGTTAGCACAGAGATATGTTGAGTATTTTATTTTAGAGATTAAAAAAAGTGGACTACACACTAACCTACAGTCCTTTTTTTCTTAATGTTAACTGAAATAGTTTTACTTTAATAATTAGTAAAACCATGTTAAACTAGATATAATCTAACCTAATGAATATAATATGAGAGCTACAATTATTTATTGTTACGAAGACGATACACAACTAACCAATATAATTTTTATATCTTAAATTTAAAATCACAATATAGAGGTTGCTGTAACAAACTTTACGTAATAATATACATTATGGTATATAATATGCTGTATTGTTACCAATTTTATTCAATCGATATTTTTCTAATATTCTATATTTTATTGCATCGGTTATATGTACATAATTACAACGCCGCCTAGTCTCATTGGAAGATTTGTAATTGTAATATAATTACAATAAATTATATTAAATATATTGTAAATTTTATTATATATTATGTTACAACGCGCTGCTGGTTTATATGTATATCACATAAATATATCTGCACAGCAACAAAATCACAGATATTCACTGGTTTATATGTACTGTTTTATTATATATAATAACTAACTATAGATCTAATACACTTTTAATGGAGCAGTACTTAATGTAAGTATATAAGCTGCTTATTTTACCTTAACTCCTTCAACATAACTGTCATATAAAGGTACTGTTGACACATACAGCGTTCAAGAGACACTCAGAGTAATAATAATACTTTAATATTATTGAACAATTAATGACGAAATAATAATGCTATAAAGTAATATTTTAAAGTGATGAGTTTTTCAAATACTCTTATTTACTAAGACAATCACAACTGCAAAATTTGTACGTTTGTCAGTCTAGTTATTTTTCTTATTTCATAATGCAATGTTTTTCAAATCTTTATCGTAATGCTTTATGTCTCTAAATAAACATGAATGCTTGCTTATCTTTAACTTAGCACCTACTAATTGTTAGTCCTAAAGTACTTTTACTGCTTTGTTCATTTGCTTACCTAAACATCAGATCTTCAGTAATATAAAACTTTCAAATGACTACCGCCAAGGTACTCGTTCGAAATGCCATATTTGTTCATCTGTTTTGATACACCTCTTTGCTGTTAATGGAGTGTCAGTAACATCTGCGCTTTGATTAATTAATAATGTCAGACACAGACCGTCATTTGTTTTCAACCTAGGTCCTTCTTGCTTCCAAATCTGTTTTCTATTGTCGCTGCAACTTTTCCACACAGCCCGCCCGTTTCCTTGTTCTAAGCATAATCCCTCATCAGCCATAATTTTACCTTCTTGAGTATAAACTAACAGACTATCAAGATCCAAATCGCTGCCACAACGCACCTTAGATGCTGGACCACCAAGGCCAGGTGTTCCGGATATTACGCCTATACAACCGCCTCTATCATTCCGAATTCTTCCAAACCATCTGTCCTTTGTAGGGAAAAAATGTTGCGGCCACACATTTTTCAGGTACCATTCGAAGCTCTTACATTTTAAGTTACTACGCAGTTCTACTCTGTCACCTACTTTTTGCTCATCACGTATTGCAGCTACTGCAGGATTAAATTTAAAAAAGAAATCGGCCCATTCATCCATCCAAACTGATGCTGCTCGGGCTAAATTTGAATTCAAGACTTTGGAGACCCCTCCAGGATATTTGTAAGGGCTGTGTCTTCTAAATATATGTCCGACACGGGAGCATGGCGTTATTTCGACCCTTGCGCCACACTGCCAAGCTCTCCAAGAAAGTTCCAAGTTTTCGGCACCCCAAATCAACATGCCCTCATCATAACCCCCTAAGCGCCAAAATAAGCTTTTTCTTACTGCAAAAAGACCACCGGCCATTGCAGGTGTCGGATAAGGTTTAGAGGGATTTTCAGATTTTTGCATCATAACCTCGGTACTCGGCATCAACCAGCGAAAATGAAGGCGCCAACTGAAAGCACCCCAATGAGCATCAATGCTTTTCGTATAAGCTAGAGTGTCTTCCGAAAGTAGATCTATATGGGGACAAATAAAAACATCGTCGCTGCCAGCTCTTTCCAATAATGGCTCAAGCCACCCTGGCGTTACCTGAAATTGAACATAAATAAATGTATATATAATATACATATAAACTACTATTATATATATATATATATATATACGTGGTAGAGCCACGCTGCAGCTATATTATAGTTGTAGCATGAATGGGTCGGCTCGACCAGGGCAGGACCATGCTCTTACAGACCAGTGTAAAATGGCAGTGTAATGCTGCTGTGTTTTGTGTGGTGAGTGTAGGGAACTAGAGACCCTTCTTACTGGAATCGAGGCATTCCATCTTAGTCCTCATGGGTGATAACGCATTTACATTTCGATTCTTAATTGAGAATAAATGTGGACGTCCATGGGCCACAGCATCCACTTACCATCAGGTGGACTGTGTGCTCGTTTGTCACCCTATATATCTATATAAAAAAAATATAATTGGGTTGAACGTGTAGTAGCAGTGTGAGAGTATCCATCACTCCATATCCTCCTGTGAGTGCGGTTGCCAACCCGTCTGCCGAGCACGGCAACTATGGCAATTATTGCTGATATTGTCAAAGTTTAAGTCCCAGTTCGAAACCTTACTGCATTGTTTTTATAAAACAGAAGGAACCCAGCGAACATACAGCCCCCCGATTATAGGTAACAAAGAAGGCTGGGTTGTTTCACACCCTGAAACCCTTTAAAGCGCAACAGCAATGCAAACGCTGCTTTTTGACGGCAGAAATACTTCTAGGCAAAAAAGTTGTCCTATTGTCTACTGCTATTTTCCACACGAACCCATGGTAGTCCACATTTGGACTTGAGTGTCTCCTATATAAGGAAGGATTTTCCATAATCGTCACTTTTGATAGGCAATGTGCAGTACAAGGCGACTCACAACACTGACGCTGCTCTCAGTCGCTGGTCCTCGTTATTTTACAACTGGCATTGTTTTTTTTTATAGAATTAGGGTGACAAACGAGCACACAGTCCACCTGATGGTAAGTGGACGCTGTGGCTCATAGACATCTACATTTATCCTCGATTAAGAATCAAAATGCAAATGCGTTGTCACCCCTGAGGACTAAGATGGAATGCCTCGTTTCCAGTAAAAAGGGTCTCCGGTTCTCTACACTCACCATACGAAACAGCAGCATTAAGATGCTATTTTACGCGTGTAACAGCGTGGTCCTACCCCGAACGAGCCGACCCATTCGTGCTACAACCATAATATAGCTCTAAGGCTCTAACACATGAGTATGGATGTTATATCTCCATCTGTCAAAAACCATTAGATCTTTCTGGCAAATCAAAGTCAACTCTAACTACTCAAAGGATGACGGAGTGAGAGATTTTCTTATACCACCACCCGATATCTTATTGCTGCATACATAAAATATAACCCCAAATTTAAATACACATTACATACAGTTATTTTTCTATACATAAAGAAGGTATAAATGATGGTATAGGTATAAATGAAGGTATAAATAATGTAAAAAATACCCTTCCGATCCGAAAAGGGCACATAGGTACGACAATGACAGTACCAAAAATAACTAGAATATCATACCACATAATAATGAATATAAAAATGTAAATTTTTACGGTGACGGTATCTGAAGTTCTGAAGTAACTATAATTAGCATTTTGTGTTTGTAACCATTCTTTCTTATGAAGGAACGAAAAACGTGATACCCGAGGTCAACAGGGATCAGTCACTAGATATTGTTGACAGACGGCTGCAAGCGCCGAATGTAAGTTTCCCCATTATTTATATTTTTTTTTTAATTTATTCTCTGAAAAGACCTTACACATAAACGAAACCATATCACAATATCACAATACCTATGAGCATCGTCATAGATTGGACAGATAGATTTTTATTTTATATTTTAATTTTACCTTTGTTAATACCACAATTCTAAATATTTCAATGGTATATTTGTGATTTTTTATAGTAAAAACTCAATTATATTATAATTTTATGAATATATACCTTTAAGATAAGTGTATCTTTCTTGCAGCTCAGCTCACTCTCTGTTTTAAGCTTTCACTCGCTTTCCCCATCAACATCCAATATTACAATGATCACAAAAAATGTAACTCACCATTGACAAAAGATCTAATTATTTTTAAGGAGCACACACTAAACTAAACTTAAGCAAATAAACAACTTAGGCTGAAAATATGACAGTATTTATGTTCTGGAACATCTTGAGATGACAAAATTGCATTAAACAATGTAATAATTACCTCACAGTGAGCGTCTAAAAATACCAAAACATCCCCAGTAGCTGTTCTGGCACCTATTAATCTAGCACCAACAAGACCTTTTCTCTCTAAGCTTCTTAATATGTGAACCTTCTCAAGATTAGATACTGCATCGTCCAATTCTTTGCCTAAGTATTTCCTCTCACTTGCATCATCTACAAGAATTATCTGTAATTGTAGCAAAGTAAAGATACTCACCTATTCTTAAGATCACACTTGAATTTCAATATGAATTACACTAAGACAAGTATTTAGACATACATTCCGAGTTCTCAAACTCCACAATGTCAAAATTCTTCTTTTTTTTTGTGGTGCTTTGGTAAAACAAAAATTCGAATCTAAGGGTGTTATCTTGTCGATCGATGCCATTGATCGACATCGATCGATGTCGATCGATTGGTGTGGTAGCTTTAGCTGATCGACGGATACTAGTTGATAAAATGTTGATCAATTATCGATTGACAATTAATTGATGTGATTATGGACCCATCATCAGTATCTTTTAAAAATATATTCAGTAAATAATAATCAAGCAGCTTGATCGACGTCGACTTATTCATTCTACCATTATCAATGCCATTGTTCCATCAGATTGGTAGAAACTATTGATTGACATCGATTAATCCATTCCACCATCGATCGACGTGATTACACTAATTTTGACATTGTAAAGTTGGACCGGCCTATGTGAACTATGATAACAATAATATAATACCTGTTTTAATAATGTTGGGGGAGATCTCAAAATAACTGACATCACGGTCCTCATCAAAGTAGACCAGGCTTCATTATGAAATACTATAATGATACTTGCTGTTGGTAGATTGTCAATATTATATTTTACTTCTTTGCAACTGAAAATATACATTTCATTAAAAAAAATGGTTGACCCTGCTGGCCTTCCACAGAACTTTAAGCTAATTTAAATATCAAAGCGCTTCAAATTCCACTTAGTATCTAATTATCCAATTTACACTTATATATCTTGTCATCATTTTGGGACACCGTTTTTTTATATTTATTTTTTCAAAATTGTATATTTCACGAACCAATCAACCGATTTTGATGTGATTTACGACAATCGACGCAATTTTTCGACGACGAATCGACGCAAAAACGCAAAAAATTATTTGCGTAAAAAGTTATTTTTAAAAAACACTTTCGAGATTTCTTTCGACACTGATGTCTCTCGAACGAATCACTACTTTGATATGGTTTACAGCAATCGACGTCGCTTTTCGAATAGAAGAGTTGATTAGATTATAGAATTGATCAAAACAAGGGTGTCGAATTAATTCCAAGAAAACTATTTCATGAAAATTAAAAATACTTTAATTTTTGAAAATCATTGATTTTTATAGCGGGAAGTTAAAAATACAGTATGAACTTAGGCAGATTTTTTTTTTGTTTCTTTAAAGTATAATGGAAATAATTTGTAATAGCAACAATTAAATTAAAATTTTCAGTGTAAGAAAGTAAAATTTTAAGTGTGTCAAACAGATGGAACTTTCTCAATAAATTATCAGAATTTTTGGAAGTACTTACATTTGTGCAAAAACTACTTTTAATTGCAGATATAAATATTGCTTTCTCATTGATAACAACCAACTGCCATATTTAAAATTTCAAACAATCTTATTAACTTCACACCACAGTTAAATGTTAGATAACATTAACACTTAAATAAGCCATTTTTATGGTAAAGGGTTTCCAGCCTCTGACCAAAAGTATAATTGTTATTCATTTTGCAACAACACATCAAAATGAAATGAGAATAATTATTTTGAACTAGCTGTTCTCTGCGACTTCGCCCACATGGAATTTATTACGATTGGATTTCATGCACGGAACCCTAATTCTTTTTATAAAATATAAGTAGGCTATGTTACTACTTATAACATCAGCTATCTGCCAGTGGAAGTCCCGTTAAAATCTATCCAGCCGTTTCAGAGATTAGCCGGAACAAACAGACAGACAGACAAAAATTTTAAAAATTGTTATTTTCTTATAAGTACCGTTTTTACTTTCATATGCATTTAGTAAAAAGCTGTTATTTTGATATTACAAACAAACACTTCAATGTTATTTATGTGTATACATTTCTAAATACTACTGGTTACGAATTAAACAATTCATACTTTTTTATAGATGAAGGGGCAAACGAGCATACGGCTCACATGATGGTAAGTGATCACCGCCACCCATGAACCACTGCAACACCAGAGGAATTGCAGATGCGTTTCTGGCCTTTTAAAAAGGATTATGTTTTTTCTTGATGGTCCCTAAGTCGTATCAGTCCGGAAAAATCTCTGGTGGTAGTATACTGCATAATACAACATAAAATATTGGTTTAATATCTTATCCAAAATTAAATATGGTAATAAAAATTACTAGCAATACCTCTCACTACGCACATCTGGAAGACTTCTGTTAATATTAATTCTATCACCAACTAATATATTATAAGAATGTAGTGCAAAAAGCTCTCTTGCTGTAATTATTTCCCTAGGTGACAACTGAACAGGTCTTCCACCTTCACCTGCTCCCTCAACAGGAGCATAATTGTTAGCATTTATTATTTCTGAAAAACAAATAATATAATATAATCTTTCTTATAAACTTTTCTTCTTATAGGATTATTATAAACCAGATAACACAGGGAAACAAACCAGGACATTGGCAGCACATTATTTTCCTTATAAAAATAAAAAAGCTGAAGTTGCCAACCTGCCTGCAAAGAATGGCAGCTATGGCGAATATCCCTTATATGAGGCAATGTATGGGGAGTTCTATGTTCATAAATGGACTCTGATAGGTGTAATGAATGAATTAATGAAAATTTCCTTATAAAAAGAAAAAAGCTGAAGTTGCTAACCTGCCCGCAAAGAATGGCAGCTATGGCGAATATCCCTTATATGAGGCAATGTATGGGGAGTTCTATGTTCATAAATGGACTCTGATAGGTGTAATGAATGAATTAATGAAAATTTCCTTATAAAAAGAAAAAAGCTGAAGTTGCCAACCTGCCTGCAAAGAATGGCAGCTATGGCAAATATCCCTTATATGAGGCAATGAATGGGGAGTTCTATGTTCATAAATGGACTCTGATAGGTGTAATGAATGAATGAAAAAAAAAACAATTACAAATGTCGTAATTTGCACACATATAAACACATTTATTAATAGCACATATATAAACACATTTATTAATTGCACATATATAAACACATTTATTAATTGCACATATATAAACACATTTATTAATTGTACATATATAAACACATTTATTAATTGCACATATATAAACACATTTATTAATTGCACATATATAAACACATTTATTAATAGGACATATATAAACACATTTATTAATAGCACATATATAACACATTTATTAATTGCACATATATAAACACATTTATTAATTGCACACATATAAACACATTTATTAATAACACATATATAAACACATTTATTTATAGCACATATATAAACACATATATTAATTCCACATATATAAACACATTTATTAATTGCACATATATAAACACATTTATTAATTGCACACATATAAACACATTTATTAATAGCACATATATAAACACATTCATTAATAGCACATATATAAACACATTTATTAATTTCACATATATAAACACATTTATTAATTGCACATATATAAACACATTTATTAATTGCACACATATAAACACATATATAAACACATTTATTAATAGCACATATATAAACACATTTATTAATTGCACACATATAAACACATATATAAACACATTTATTAATTGAACAAAACTATTATTTACGGATTTTATCGCGTTTAATTACTTTAATTTATTTTTATTATTATCCCGACGTTTCGGGTGCTTTACAGCGCCCATGGTCACGGGGGGGACTGAGATGTTTGACGTCCCAATGTCATAGTTAGTCCGGCTACCTTCAGTTTTTTTAATATTAATTTTTGGTCCGATTTACGCAAAACGAGCTTATAGTATCATGAAGTCTTGCAGTGGTATGCTTGGGTTTGGGTTTAATTTTGTTAATTATAGGATCCCAAGCAGATGGTAGCACCCAACCATCTTCTCTATTGAAATTTGGATGTTTTTTTAATTTCAATAGCCTCGCGTATCATCCTTGGTAGGAATCGGTGTTTTTTTTTTGCGAGAATTTGTGGTTTATCAAATCTAATGTAATGGTGGGGACGATCTTGAACATGTTCGCAGACTGCAGACTTCCCGGAGCGTCGGTGCTTCACATCAGCTATATGTTCCTTCACGCGGGTTTTTATAGATCTCTTTGTTTGACCTATGTAAGAGAGACCACATTCACAATCTAGCTTGTACACACCTGCATCTTGTAGAGGAATATTACATTTGATGGATGGTAAAAATTGACTAATCTTCTTCAGCGGCTTGTAGTATGTCTTAATGGACGCTCGCTTCAAGATGTAGCCAATCTTGTCTGTGACTCCTCTAACATATGGTAGTAGAGCAGGCGCGCGCTCGACTGTGGCCGGCTTCACTCGTTCACTGTGAACGTAGGCGCGGGACCCGAAGCTTGTTGTCTTGCAATACTTGCTTGACGTGCTGAAGCTCCGCGGCCAGATGTTTTCTGTCACAGATCCCTCGTGCTCTCTGAAACAAAGATTTACCCACGGTAGCTAACTGTGAAGGATGATGGTGAGAATCACTATTTAAATATCGGTTGGTATGGGTCTTTTTCCTATACACAGTGTGGCCAATAGTGTTATCAGGATTTCGGATGACTAAAACCAACCAACCATACCAACCGATATTTAAATGGTGAATCTCACCATCATCCTTCACAGTTAGCTACCGTGGGTAAATCTTTGTTTCAGAGAGCACGAGGGATCTGTGACAGAAAACATCTGGCCGCGGAGCTTCAGCACGTCAAGCAAGTATTACAAGACAACAAGCTTCGGGTCCCGCGCCTACGTCACAGTGAACGAGTGAAGCCGGCCACAGTCGAGCGCGCGCCTGCTCTACTACCATATGTTAGAGGAGTCACAGACAAGATTGGCTACATCTTGAAGCGAGCGTCCATTAAGACATACTACAAGCCGCTGAAGAAGATTAGTCAATTTTTACCATCCATCAAATGTAATATTCCTCTACAAGATGCAGGTGTGTACAAGCCAGATTGTGAGTGTGGTCTCTCTTACATAGGTCAAACAAAGAGATCTATAAAAACCCGCGTGAAGGAACATATAGCTGATGTGAAGCACCGACGCTCCGGGAAGTCTGCAGTCTGCGAACATGTTCAAGATCGTCCCCACCATTACATTAGATTTGATAAACCACAAATTCTCGCAAAAGAACACCGATTCCTACCAAGGATGATACGCGAGGCTATTGAAATTAAAAAACATCCAAATTTCAATAGAGAAGATGGTTGGGTGCTACCATCTGCTTGGGATCCTATAATTAACAAAATTAAACCCAAACCCAAGCATACCACTGCAAGACTTCATGATACTATAAGCTCGTTTTGCGTAAATCGGACCAAAAATTAATATTAAAAAACTGAAGGTAGCCGGACTAACTATGACATTGGGACGTCAAACATCTCAGTCCCCCCCGTGACCATGGGCGCTGTAAAGCACCCGAAACGTCGGGATAATAATAAAAATAAATTAAAGTAATTAAACGCGATAAAATCCGTAAATAATAGTTTTATTCAATGTGTAGTGTTCGCGTAAATTTAAGAAATCATCATTTATTAATTGCACATATATAAACACATTTATTAATTGCACATATATAAACACATTTATTAATTGCACATATATAAACACATTTATTAATTGCACACATATAAATACATTCATTAATTGCACATATATAAACACATTTGCATGGTTTTTGAGACTGGAATTATTCAGTTGTGGTATGTAGTAAAGAACATGTTCCATCCTAACAATAACTGTAGCTATGCATTTATTAGTATGGAACATTAAAGCATAGTAACATCTGCTGGAAAACTAGATAAAGTTATTGATTCAGTTTATACAATTAGGCCTGTCACATACACGCAATGGAACGAATAGATCCGCCACACACATACGGAATCCCGTATTGACAGTAAAATTTCGAATGGAAAACTACCATAGGTGTGTACGGTCATTGACTTTATATGAACGTGCAGCGTTCCGAATGCCGAATCGGAATTCCGTATGTATATGGCCGGCCTTGTACTGTGGCTGTACAAAACTGTAATTCAGCCCATGATCACATAAGGTGCTTTGGTATGGTTGACCAAAACAAATGAAGCCACCACTATAAAGAAGCTTCAACATTACCAGAGAATGGCATGTATGGCTGCCACAAACTGCATAAGGACTACACCAACAGCAGCCTTAGAGGCTATGCTGTAGCTAACCCCGCTTCATCCACACATACAACAAGAAGCTATTTTAGCTGCCATTAGACTCAAGACCCTAACTCTTTGGAGTAAGAGTAAAGTCCCTCATACAGGTATAATTAATAGAATTTACTCAAAAATTCCTATCTTTCAAGCCAAGTATAATAAGATCCCCAAAAAATTTGTATTCAATGAGAAGTATAAGATACAATTAAATGAAACCAGCCAGCTGAAGGGATTAAGCCCAAATGAGCTTAGTTTTCTTGGATGGTTCTTAAACAAATGAAGGTTTAGGATCTAGAACTTTCTCTGAAGACCTCAATGTCAACATATGTACACCACTGGGTACCCATAACACAGTTTTTCAGGCAGAATGTATGGGTATCATCCAAGCAGCCATAGCAACAGATGCTAGGAAGGTAAAAGACTTCTCCATCAGAATACTGCTAGACCATATGGTGGTACTACAAGCTCTGAGTTGCATGCATGTGGTGAACTTTGGATTAATGTATGAATGCCATTAACAATTAAATAAGGTATGTAAACACAACAATATGACTCTGCAGTGGATAAAGAGACAAACTGGATCCAGAGGCAACAATGCAGCAGACGAACTGGCCAGAAGATGATCTGCTCTGGCCACTATAGGGCCAGAACAAATAATACCAATACCCTTTGGTAACATTCATTCACTTGTACATAGAAACTAATCAACATGCTCAGCTTTGGAAAAATCTAGTAGACTGTAGACAAGCTAGGAAGATCCTGTGTGAAATAAACAGTTGTTTCACCAAGGTTTTAATGAGACTGAACAAACCACAATCAAAATATCAACAAGTGCTATCACAGGACATGGCTCCTTTAAGTTGTTGCAACATCAAAGGACTGTAGAGCTTCTTCAGAGAGATTTCATGGCTTGAATAATTACATTATTCCTGCCCACAGGCAAAATACGCCCTAAGAAGTAGAGTTGCGGAAAACAGCCCGTCGTAAAGTAACTAACTAACTATTAACTCAGCTTTGATTCCCAAGTCTACCAAATGTTACACAGCTTAATTATAAGAACATATCTATCCATAATATCTTAAATTAACGAACTTTTAGCATTCTAGCTGGCGGCTAAACATAATTGTGACTTTACAATCAAGGGAATTTATAAACCAAGTCAATTTTTGGCATCCAACAATAAGCCACCTTGATAACACCACAACTAAGACTTGAAATTTATAATGACAAACAAACAAAAACAACTGATGAATCCAACTCCACTACAGCTTAACAGCACAACATATTTACAGAGATCCCAGTAAAAATTAAATAATACATTATGATCAACCCGGGTTCGATCCACGCTGGCACCAATGAAATTGTTAATTGCAATTTTAAGGGATCATTTACCACATGCTTGGCAGTGAAGGAAAACATTATGAGGAAACCTGCATGTCTTACAAATAAAAAAATATTCCAAGATATGAAGTTCGCCAACACGCATTGGGGCAGCGTGGCAGACACTTCCTTGCCCTAAAACCCTCTCAAAAATGAGAGGAGCCCTATGCCCAGCAGTGGGACATATATAGACTGTAACTTTAACTTTTATTATGATTAAAAGACCGTTTATTCTATCAATTTTTCAAAATCTTTGTTTTTTTTAGAGAAATAGAGGCTAGATCACTCTTGGCATTGCTTTATGTTTGTTAGTGAAGTTTTACAGCAATAGGTTCAGCCAATTAGAATATTATCCCAGACGGACAGAGAGAGAATTTTTAAACAGTTTTTTCTTAACAGCATGCAAATAACTCCCACAACTAAATAAAGGGCAGTTATTTTGATATTAAAGACAGACACTTCAATAATATTTATATGATGTATAGATGTACAGATTATAGATGTATTGGTGGTGCTTGGGTGCATTTTATGTAAAATTGATTAAAAAAACATAACCCACCTTGTGACAAATTACCTCCTGAATAACCTCCAACATAGTGACCAACAATAACTCTCATACCACTCTTATCTATGTAGGAATCCTGATCAAAGTGTAACCTAAAAGCATATTTAGTTAAGATAAAATAAGTTATTTAAAAAGTATACAAACTGACTTCGATAATTATTAGAAATTTATGAGACCTTTGTTTGTATCTAATTATCTAACCAGAGGAATACTTAGTTAAAAAGCATTAAATAAATTATAATCGTTGAATTAAATACTATATATACAGCATCACAGAGATTATTATATAAATTGTTATTGACCTCTTAAACCACTGATTTTTATGCCTCTTCTTGATTGTATTGTATAATTCGAAACTGACATAAAACATAGCATTTATTAAAAACATTACAATAAATATTAGAGTGATAATTTTTTTCTTTCGCCCTCTACAAATCAATGATCTAATTTCCTAAAATAAAAAGGTTTAAAGTACATAATAATAAGTATAATATTTGACTTATTCTATCATTTTCATCAGAATTATTTTACCATTGTTATCAGTTTTGAGAATGTTTTTTTTTTGATAATTTTACTTATTAATTCTTTATTACATTTACATATAATTAACTTTCATTTCTAAAGATCCACAATGATATTACAACTCAAACTTTGAACGTGCTTTGAATCTTTGAACTCTAAGATTTTCCAAAGATTTTTATTTCTACCTAAACTAGAATTACAACTCAAATAAATTAGAATACTCTTTTCTTTTTGCTTATTTAGGTACTATAAGGCTTTGAATTGAAAGTAAGGTAATTTTGCTCTTGTAATTGTGAGTTTTGTCAATTTGACAGCTTTCAGCCTTTGACTTTGACATACTAGGCTTGTTGAAAAATATCGATACATCGATGTTATAGATACATCGATTTTTTATTTAAAATATCGACATTTGTGGCCGACATTTTTAATCCGATACATCGATAAATTGATACAAAATATTCAAAATAGTGGTAGGGATGTACTTTTTAATTATTACTTTATATAAGATGCATAATTTAGTAATTTATTTAGCCAGTTAAAAGACTGCTAACAAGTTTTGTAATTATTAAAAATCCCAGTATATGTATGTTTTTCGCCAATAGTTGGGGGAGAAAAAACAAAAACTTTATCTTTCAAGAGTGGCCTTCCAGTATGCCTCTATTAGAGTCGCTATTTAAATTATTAAAAAAACCTTATAAATTGCTGTATTAGAATATATTGCGGGATTTGTGGCAAAAAAAGGTTCAGATACCATGCATGAAGAAGCAGTGACAAGCTGTCTTATAGAAATTACAGATTTACAGAAATGAATAATAATAATAATAATAGTTTATATAAGATCTGGCATGATCATGAAACGGTGGATGAAATATTGTATCCAGGATGTTATATCATATCATATTTCATGATCATGCCAGACTCTCGAATTTTTTGTAAAATAATAATATTTTTCATTTAAAATCTGAAAGAATAAATAAAATATGATATACAACTTGCTTGTATAACTTACTATTTGTGATGAAGTATGTGCAGAACAATACTAATAACAATTTATTGTAAATAAGTATTGATTTTTAAAACAGGTTATTTCATTTTTACTCAACTAATCATTATTATTTTATATTAAAAATACTGTAATATGGGATCAGGGATCTCTATCCCAGTAATTCTTTAAACACAAAAGAAGGGTTTAATTTCTACCTACACAAGAGCCATAAATCTGTCAGTCACATTTATTCCCCAGATAAGTTATTTGACGATTGAAAATTCAGCCCTGTATTTATGTAAATACCTACGGAATAAAGTAAATTAAGCAAAAAATCCGGTTATGTAAAACGGGAAAAAATTCATATTAGTTAAAATATCGATATCAGCTGCGCATATTGTTGAGTTACAACTTACAACCCTATAAAAGGCGGCCATTATATGCGCCAGATTTTTGAAGGTAGTCACGCTAATTATGTAGATATGCCCAGTCCATATACTTCTAAGTCAGTGACTCAACTGGGCTCAACCCAACTCATCATCATCATCATCATTACAGCCTTTCACAAGTCCAATGCTGAACATAGGCCTCCCCCAAGTAATGCCACAAAGCACGGTCCTGAGCCACCTGCATCCATCGACTTCCTGCATGTCTTACCAGGTCGTCACTCTGTCTAGTGGGGGGGTCGCCCTACACTACGCCTACAACTACGAGGCTGCCACTCGAGAACCTTTCTTCCCCATCGGTTATCGGTTCTTCAAGCTATATGGCCGGCCCATTACCACTTCAGCTTGCTAATCCGTTGGCCTATGTCGGTCACTCTGGTTCTACTGCGGATATCCACTTTTCTAAGTTGTTCACGCAGAGAAACTCCGAGCATAGCCCTCTCCATAGCTCGCTGAGCAACCTTGAGCGTCTTCATACGGCCAGCAGTGAAGGACCACGTTTCAGATCCGTAAGTCATCACTGACAACACGCACTGGTTGTACAATCTAGTTTTCAGAGTTTGGAGGTGTACCTGACGAGAAGATGTATCGTAATTTCCTGAACGCTGCCCAGCCGAGTTCAATCCGTCGAGTCGAGTACCTCTCGGTCGAAGTTGGACTTACCTAATCGGACTATTTTTCCCAGGTAAACGTACTCGTCAACAACTTCGAACATAGTGCTCCCAACGACTACCGGCATAGGCATGGACATTAAACATGATCTTTGTTTTGTCCATGTTCATCTTAAGACCTATCCGTTGGGAGACACAATTGAGGTTATTGAGCATAGTGCTTAGGTCCTCCAGTGATTCTGCCATAAGGACTATATCGTCGGCAAATCGAAGGTGAGTGATGTACTCGCCATTGATGTTAATACCGTATCCTTTCCAGTCCAGTAGCTTGAAAACGTCTTCCAATGCAGCGGTGAAGAGTTTCGGGGATATAACGTCACCCTGTCTTACACTTCTCAGCAGTTGGATAGGTTTCGAACTCTGGTTCTGTACTCGGATAGCCATCGTAGCCCTACTGTACAAACACTTCAGCACTTCGATATACCGACAGTCAACTTGACACCGCTGAAGGGACTGTAGCACCGCCCAAATTTCGACGGAATCAAAGGCTTTCTCATAGACCACATAAGCCAGGCAAAGTGGCAAATTGTACTCTTCGGTCTTCTGTACAATCTGCCGCAGGGTATGTATGTGGTCTATGGGACTGAAGCCTTTTCGGAAACCGGCTTTTTCGGAAGGGTGGTAGTCGTCGAGTCTGCGTGCGAGACGATTCGTAATGACCCTCGAAAACAGCACGTAGACGCGGCTCAGAAGGGAAATCGGTCCGTAGTTCTTCAAGAGAGCGTTATCGCCTTTCTTGAAGAACAAGACCACCGCACTTCTGCTCCACGCCTCCGGAGTAGTGCCACCATGGAGGACGTAATTGAAGAGCTTCTGAAGGACTTCAAGTACCCGTGTTCCACCGGCTTTCCACTTTTGACCAGACGCCAACTGTTCAGTGATGTCTCAGTGATTGCGAGGGTGAAAACTGGCAGCGATCACCGAATGGTTAGAGGCACACTGAACCTAAACGTTAAGTTGGAGAGGATCGTCTATAAAGTTAACGCTGCGTCCCCCTCGTGCTGTAATCCAGAATCCCGAAACCTTTCAGCTCAAGTTACGTAACCGCTTTCAGTGCCTAGAAGATTGCAATGCAGTGGACGATATGAATGACAAGCTCGTGGAAACTGTCCATTTTTACGGAGCTAAGTTCTGCAAGACCCGCCGCAGAAGAACACAAAAACTCTCCGATCACATTCTTAATCTCATGGCTGTTAGGGGGGAGATGAGGCTGCAATCGTCAACAGATTTGACAGCATACAGGCATCTGAACAGAGAGATCTCTAAATGCATGAGGCGAGACTTATGCAACTGTAATACTGCTCGTATTAAAGAAGTGATCGAGCGAAACCAGAGCTCCAAAGTCTTTGCCAGAGATCTGTCTGCCAGAAAGAGCCAAATATCAAAGCTGAAGACTGAGTGTGGCAGCGTCGTTTCCGGGACACCTGAGATTTTGAGTGAGATTGAGAGGTCCTATGGGTAGCTGTACACATCATCGTTGGAGCCACACACAAGTGTGAGTAACGATCCAAGAGCAAGTCTTATCCGACACTATTCCGATGATATCCCGGACGTCAGTCTGAGCGAGATTAGAATGGCTCTCCAGCACCTTAAAAACAGCAGGGCCCCAGGCGAGAATGGAAATACAGTGGAGCTTCTGAAAGTGGGTGGAACACCGGTACCCGAATCAACCAAATCTAAAAAACACATTTTGACGGCTTTCAGATTTATTGCACTAGGCATGCCAACAATAAAATCAATACGTACAATATTCTATTCTTAAGAAAAATCGATATCGATTCTTTAGAGTTTGGAATCATTTAGAGTTTTTTTTTCGGTGAATATTAGAATAAATTAGAAATAAATAATTTAAAACACAAAATTTATCAGTTTCTTCGTATTTATTGTTACTGCTAATTTCTAGACGCGAATTTAAGATTGAAACTAGATAAAAAAAAATTTATTCAGTCACTTTCACTACAACTAGTGTTTTGAAGTTGGGTTTTGATTTCATTAGAAAAAAGACTCGCGCGGACCGCCGTAGCGAACAGACGCGCGCAGCGGAAAGCTCCCGAGAGCCGATCCGCGCACGACCCACGCACTGCGTGTGGTATCTTGAAATTTTGTGCGGTTCTTAAAACAATCCACATTGGAACGAGACTTGAAGTGAATAGAAAGTGAAAAATCATGAACTGTGAGGACCCCAGGGGAGCACCCCCCTGGGATTCACCAGAAGAAGTGAGACAGGCAACACCCAACAGAATTAGTGAATCAAGAGTAATAGGAAACATGCTCTCGAAAAACAACAGTGAAAGTTCACACAAATCTAATGATATGGACACGGATCTACTTAGTCTAGACAAGGACAGTAAACAAGTTAAAGACAAAGTGAAAAAAGTGAAAATGGACCTCAATGAGTTCAATAAAAATATAATACAGTGCTGGGAATGCGAACAATACTTCCAAACGGACGCCCCCCTGTGGGGTACCAATCAAATGAACACGAGGAAAATCCAATGTAATGTATGCATGGAAAGCTTTCTCATAAAGGCGGCCACTACTATAGTGCCCAAATTCGAAAAAAGAAACACTAAAAATCGAAACTACCATAACAATATACACAGCCTCGCTAAAAACCGGAGTAAGCAACTTTCGTGCGTGCGTGGACTGTAAAACAAAGAGAGAATTGATCACCCTACCGATAGACGCATTTACATCGGAGGAATGGTTCATCTGTAAGTGCGGCAAAAATCAATGCGCACTTATAAAAACCACGGCAGAGGATTCAAGCCCGTCTCTAACCACCCAAAGAGGCAAGAAAAAAGAAATCGTAAGGGCGTTGGCTTGCAAGAGCCAGTGCACGTGCAACGAACGAGGTTAGAGCCGACGAACGGCACATGCAAGCCGCTCGCCGCCCGGACCGCCCCCCGC